AAACCGAGCGGGTGAGGCAGTCTCTTCGTGAGCTCTCACCTTGGTCTTAGAGCACGCTCCTCGAGAGCTTCTAAGACCTAAACCGAGCGGGTGAGGCAGTCTCTTCGTGAGCTCTCACCTTGGTCTTAGAGCATGCTCCTCCAGAGCTTCTAAGACCTAAACCGAGCGGGTGAGGCAGTCTCTTCGTGAGCTCTCACCTTGGTCTTAGAGCACGCTCCTCGAGAGCTTCTAAGACCTAAACCGAGCGGGCGAGGCAGTCTCTTCGTGAGCTCTCACCTTGGTCTTAGAACACGCTCCTCGAGAGCTTCTAAGACCTAAACCGAACGGAACTAGTGCGCAGATAAACCAAGCAGGAAATGAAAAGCTAAGTACGAAAAGACAATTAAGACAGGAAAATACAAGTACAAGAACAAAGGTAAGACGACAGAAGGAAAGTGAATTCTTCATTGATCACAAAAGGTTGTTACAAGTACAATGTTTCAAAACATAAAATCCTAAGTCTAGGCGCTTAGGATTGGCCTGCGGTTTCAACGACCTCCCCTACCACCTCAACGGCAACTTCGACATCCGGACCGACTAAAGGGCAAGGTGGGGGAACATGGATGGGAACCAACTTGACACCACCATCATGCTCACGTCGATACGGGGATCGTCAGTAAGCACTTGGAAAAGAAGGTGACATTGAGCGAGAGCTTTCTCAAAGCCGAGCACATGCTCGTTTAATACTTCATCACCTAGCAGCTTGACTTCGGCCAGGAGAGAATCCCGTTCGGTAGCCAATGTGGTGTTGGAAGTAGTGGCTTTCTGAAGGTCCAGCTGGGCATCATCCAAAGACCGTTGCAAACGGCGCTGAGTAGCACGAGCTTCGGTTAACAGTGTGCTGGCTTTTTTCTTATCCTCTTCTGCTATCCGTTCGGTTTCGGCCAGCCGAAGAGTAAGGTCCTGGTTGGCCTTAACAGCAGATTCGAGCTTCTCTTGGAGTGATTGAAGCTCGGCGGAAGCAGAAGCTTTCTTATGGGCAGCATAGGCCTGACATAAGGCCGCCCGTGCCGTCAGCTCCATAGACATGTTGGAGGCCTCTTCTTCGGTCATCCCATTGACCAAGGCCTTGTCTGTTGCGAAATGGTCGAAGTGGAGATGTTTGGCCACCCAGGAGTTGGGATCTAGCAGACTGGGGAGAGGAGGTCCGTCGGGCAAACTTCTTTTAGCAGGAATGGACTCCGCAGAGGTGTCCCGAGCGGCTTTTCGTTTCCCTTTCTTCTTAGGGGGGGACTTGGAAGGAGGAGCTGGAGTGACAACAGTATCAACTAGAGGCGGAGGAATGGCAGGTTCGGCGGTGGTAGACGGGGCGTGGGAAGAGCTCCCGCCCGGTTTTCTCAAGTCGCCCCCTCGTTGAGCGAACAGGCGGGCGAAGGTGCTACCCTGGACGGATCCATCTTCGATAAGTAATCTGCAAAGGCAAACGAAAACTCAGATAAGTTCAAAGGGCTGCTCAGTAAAGGACGGCCAAAAGTAGCTTACCGAACACATTAGAAGGCAGGTTCTTGTTGCCAAGAAACCCGATCAGAACACGGCATGAGGACTTGGGGGGTAGCTGACAAAGCTGACTGATTAAATTCAGGTCCTCGGTACTCATCTGCGGCTTGGGCCAGGAGAGGACCTTCCGAGGGTCGAGGGTCCAGTAATGAGGAAACTTGGCATCCCGGACGGGGCCGGGGTTGCGAAAACTTGCATAGCCAGCCTCCGTCGGCACGACTTTAAAAAAGTGACTTTTAAAGTCTTTATAGGAGCTGTTGTAAAGAGTCAGCAGATGCTTATTCCCGACCGTCCGCAGGGATACCCACGGTTTGGTAGGGTGTGGTTGCACGTGGAAAAAATAGAGGAAAGCTGGGGGAGTTGGCTTAAGCGCCAAGCCAGTGCAGATAGCAGAAAAGGCTTGCATGAAGGCCCACCCGTTCGGATGAAGCTGAGTAGGAGCCAAGTTGAGGGTTTTCAATACACCCATCTGAAAGTCAGTGAAGGGTAGGAGAACCTTCAGATCTTTAAATAAGGTGGCGTAAGCATAGAAGAAATCAAAGCGGTAGTTCTCCCGACCGTGGCAGACGCGTTCGGTCCTCTGACAGAGAGCAAGCTTGAATTGTCTCGCGTCGTTGGCATTCTTGACCAGACAGGTGCGAGTGACCAGACTCCGGAATGCGTCACGATTGTAGAAGGAGGAAGGGATCTGCCTCACTTCGTCAGGCACCCAGTCATAGCCGGGGACAGGAGGCCAATCTCAGGGCTTCCCGTCCCAAGCACCGGTGGAGTCCACATGAATGGCGACTTCGTCCGGGGAATCACTATCTACCAGAAGATCGGAGGAGTTCCCGGAGGGAGAAGCCCTAGCACCGTGACCAGCAATGGCCGTTATGGAGGTCGACGGACTGACATTGTCTTCATCAGCATACCCCCTCCCCTCGTTGCCGGAAAGATCAAACGACATGAGTACCTGAGAGAATGGAAGTAGAGAGACTCGGAGGAAGAGAAGAGGCTAGCGACGGCAAGGAGAGTAGAGACAGTAATAAACTAGGGTGAAAAGAAAGGTATTTATACTTAGGGTAAAACTCACTCAACGGATAAATCTAGAACGTCAAAGGTCGCGAGATCTGACGGTACAGGAGATGTGACGTTTCGGTGATGGGAGGATCTGACGGTTTAGGGGGGGAAGACGTTTCGTTTTTTCACATTTCCCGCCTAAATGTTACAGGCGAGACTTATCAATTCCCACCAGAACACATGGCCAAATTTCGCTAAGGGGAAAGGAAGGCCGAACAGAGGACACTTCAAAACCCTACGCAAAAGTAATGTTGCTAGGGCTTGGGGGGCTTGTGTTACTACCGTCGGTAGGCAACCGACCGTGGTTTGGGATATAACCGAGAGTAGGCGACCGACCACAGACTGTGTTGTTACCGAGGATAGACAGCGGACTGTGGCTTGCGTTACTACCGAAGAAAGGCAACCGGTCGGGTGTTTCGTAAAATAACCGATCGGGTGAGCGCAAGAAAAGGAGATGGCAGACAGCCGTTAAAGGCTCTTGAATGCGTGGTTAAGGAGGTAACGGTCCTTGTCGAGCATTCAAAGTAAGCATTGAAAGCCATTAAAAGGTAAATTAATGAATAATATTCCCTGTAATTGTATAAATAGAAGTCAAAGGGGAAGGTAAAATCTCTGTTCAATTTGATAATTATAGACATGCGAGAGCCCATTCTGACTTGAGCGTCAGAGTGTTTGCTGCAGGTCCACACCCTTACATCGAGACCGAGTGCAGAGGAGGCGAGAAGAGGAAGACCGATCAGAGGAGGAGGAGTGTTTCCGGACGGAGGTAGTAGGAGTGTCCCCGGTCCCATTCAGCAGAAACAATATATATAATATTAATGAATAATTAATGAATTTGATTGTTTAAAAATATATTATATTAAGGAATAGATAGTAGGCTTGGGTGAGTATCAAACCTATAAATATTTCAGGTAAAGACACTTTTTTTCATAATCATATTAAAACCTGCTTCAGAAATATATAGCGGAAAAGTATTTTCTCCAGATGAACCATCCATCGAAAAAAATTACTTCAGGAGTTGAATAATCAGGAGGGGAGCGAAGGAAGTATGTTCAACCTCAACCCTTTCAACTGAAAAACAAACGGAAACAATAACTAACAATATTTAATAAAATACTAAGTATATTGAAATATTACAATAATCTTATTTTATGATTCAAGCATCATATAAAATAATTATATTGAGATTTTGAAACAACCTTGTGTTAAATTATTTTATTTTAAAATCATTCTTTTGAAAATATCTCACTTAAAATTTCTGAAAATATAAAATGTTTCTCATTAAAAAAACCTCTATTCATTTTTTAAAACAAACAGGATTTCATACTGAAAATATGTTTTATATATCACAGCATATATTTCGAATGCAAATTCTTTGTAAAAAGACATTTTGTTTTTATATTTTTAAACGAAAAGCTAGTTTATTAAACTTTTATGATTTATAAATTTCATTATATTGTTTTTCAATAATAAAATAGTTAAAAATAAAAATAATAATGATAATAATGATTATGTTACATTACATACATTTTATAATCTTTTCTACAAAGATAATGGAAGTATACATAAACTTAAACAATATAGTATATATTTTATAAAATACTATTTGATTTTGTGAAGGTTGTGATCCTTTTTAAATTCTTTTTATACCAAAAGAAATTATTTCATTAAGTTTATAAATTCAATAAATTTTTTGAGTATGTAAATTTATTAAATTTGTGATTGTCAATTTTAGATAATACAAGAGAACAACTTATGAGATTATGAAATTATTTTCATAAACCTGCTCTCACTACAAAAATAATGTATTACAAGAGCGATTTATTACCAGCAGTTCCGGGAATATCGGATCGGGTAATTTTTGGCAGTTTTCACCAAAACCACAATTATATTTTACCTTTTTTAAAAAAATATATTTTCGGCGGTTTTATTCTAAACTGCCATTAAGTTTTCAATTAATTTTTTCCCGCACTCGCCTTTACTATTCCCTGACATTCCTCTGTTATTCTTTTCCATTCTCTATTTCCAATTTTCCTCTCTGTCTTCACAGTTGAGCATATGGTTCTCCAGTCCAGCATTCACTTGCCATCTTGACTCCTGTTCATAGTCACAGTTCACAGTTCAGCATCTTCTTCTCCACTTCACTTCTCCACTTCTCGACTTCCACTTTTTCGCGATTCGTTAGGGAGTGTGCGACGGTGTTCTTCGTTCGTCTTTGGCCTCTCACCGGTAAGTTCTCTTCTTCTGAAATATCTAATTGCTTCGCCTGTAGTTTGAACTTTCCACTCTTCCGAAAATCCTAGAAATTAAGGATCCTAGTCCCTATTGGAATTTTACGAAATTAGTTTTACAAATGTAGATAGAAAATGAGGTTGAATGTAAAGAAAATGGGCTTGAATTTTACGAAATTAGCTTTCACTGTTTTCAAGAATCTCGTTGGTTTGTTCTACCTTGCTCTTTACTTTATATGCATTTTCAATTTTCCTATTAGGATTGTGACTTGCTGTTTTGTTAATTTGGCCATTTCGCATAAAGCATATCTGATAGTGAGCCACCTTCGAATCTTAACCTCTGCACTGTTGATCTTAGCGAGGAAACTAATTGGCTTAAATTAGTGAGTAAGCTTTCATCGCTTTCATCACTTTCATTACTTGTTCTGACTTCTTGTTAACTTAAAAACTTGAGTTTGTCTCTCCATTATTCTAATTTTACCGCCGTCCAGTTCTTGATCTTTCTGGCAATGAATTAAAGTCAGAGTTACCTAAGTGGCTATTCAATCTTAGTTCCACTATCTATAGTTTATAACTTAGTTCAAATTCTTTGATAGGACATCTACCTAGGGATTTGTTAAATCTTCGAGAACCGGAAGACCTGGTTATGGAAGACAATAACTTTGATGGACCCATTCCAGATTGGTTAGGTGAATTCAAACATTTAAAAACTCTTTCTCTTGTTATGAATTTTGTTTAAGGGTGAAGTTTTGGTTGTAAACTAAAGTGGTTAGGTTAGGTAGGGATGATGACATAGATGGTAGCTGTGTTATCCGCCCCAGAACATCAAGTCGTTGGGTTTGAGTAAAGGTGGGTGTGAAAGGGTTGCTTCTTTATGCCCAATATTGAAATGAGATAAGAAGGGAAACACCAGTGTCCACCTTCAATCATTCATCACTGGTAAATGTGGTATCTCAGTTAGTCTTTCCAACTTTCACAATTTTTTTTGTCTAGTTTCTAAGCTTTTGAATGGGACGCGTTGGTAGGTGAGGACTAGTGCCTTGATCAGTTACCATTTACCAGCTTCGTTGCCCTTTGCATGGGACCACGATTCCATGTGGTTCCACACCATCCAAGCAAAAAAGCTACTACTGGTTGAGGGAAGAAAGAAAAAGGATGTTTCTGATTATGATAACGTTATCCTCCCAATAGCAATTAGAGAATATCTTACATAGGAAAAGCTACAAGTGCCACGGTAGCACAAAATCTCAAATCCATTATCCATTCTCTGAGCTTCAACCTCTTGAGCAGAATCTTCAGTTCAGACCAAGGCAACTCCTGAGATGGGTTCTGCTTTTGTTCCGATGGCTTTGTCTCTGACCTCTGTCACGCACCGCAAGCCTTCATCTCAAGCCTTCATCCCAAGCCTTCTTCAGGCCATTGCCCCCACCACAACCAAAGAGAACCTTCTAAAAAAAGCCACCGTCAAACTCCAACCCTCAAATTAATGCATCTTTGAAGGAGAAGGCAGTGACAGGACTCACAGCCGCAACCTTCATAACCTCTATGGTGATCCCAGAGGTGGCTAATGCTGCTGGATCCGATTTCTCCCCTTCTCTCAAGAACTTTCTACTCAGCATGTTCGCCGATATGGTCGTGCTGGTAGCCATATTTGGAGCAGTTGTTGGAGTAGTGACAACAATAAGTCAAAGGTAAGTTTGGAATAATAGTCCAGTGACTCTAGCATTACATAAAGACTTAGTTGTATGCATTCTAGGTTCTGTCATGGGAAAATGGGTGTTTACAAAGGATAAATACGTATAGCTTATAAGTTTTATTTTATATATATTTGACAGGAGTACAAATTAATTGCATTAGAACATCTTTAAATAATAATAGCATTTAACTTACATAAAAGATCTTAAAAGAAAACTTTAATGGGTCCCAGTCCTTCTGAAATACATAGCTTATAAATATGACCTGCACATTGTAAAAGCTTATGTCAAATAAGAAAAAAATACTATCCACTAAAGAATCAGGAGATGCTAGATTGAAAACTTACCGTAGCATAAATACTTGACATGGTGGCATATAATACAACAAACAAAGAAAGCCTTATAATTCCAATAACCAATACAATTATTTATCTACGAGCAGTGATGATCCTACATCAAATTTAGCAACCAACAAAAAGGTCAAAATGAATCCTTGTTTTGTGAACCGACATGGTAAATCGAACTCAAAGTAACTTAACCTACCATTTTCAAAATACACCTTCTGCAAACTCGACAATGATGTGTCCTCGGAGGTTTATACATAAATCATTTGTCACATTTCTTCGGTGTTTCGTTCTAACAGATCAAATAAAGTAGATCATCAATATGAAAGAAAAAATAACAATATCAACATCTTAATCTTTCATGATGCTTGATGTGTTACTATGCTTTTGGATATGTTATACTGTCAATTTATGTGGTTTATTTTCAACCTCTAGAACTGTCCTAACTAGCAATAGGCCGAACCAATGTTGGTGTATGTACTTAGCTTGATTTTGCAGCATTTAGAGTTAATCAGATTGGGAATGAGAGGGACCCTGTTAGACAGTTTCCCGTGGTGGATTCTGCAGCATATTCTAGTCTAGAGTAGCATTTGGTTTGGCCCATTTCAGTGGGTTTCATTGGCTAATTCTGCAGTATTTACTTGACTAGTTTAAGAGTCCAATAGGTAACCAAGTTTGGTTGAGCAAGTTAGCACTTGAGAATGGTTAATTATAGGGAGTATTCCAGGGCTGGTCTGCGGCATTAAAACAGTCAGTTTAGCGCCTTTAGCAGCCAAGTATGGTAAAATCGTGTTGGTAAAACAATATTTAGTATAAAACAATTTATCCTCAACCTTCATCCTGTTTAAGAAAACCTCACCCCAGAGACAGTAAGCCACGTCATGCCCAAAAATGAATCTGGCACTTTCATTTTCAGTTTGAATTTGAAACAGTGATGATTTCTTTTCAAGATCAAGTAGATTTAGTTGTGGTTGTATATATCAGCATAATCTGAGTTGTCCATTGAACTGTTAACTTGTGTCAATTTGGTTATCAGTCAATCAACTTATTTAAATTAGTTTTCGTGATTTCTAGTCCCTACTTTATTAGGAGGAACATATAAAACAAAATATTCTTAATTTATTGTTGCATTCCTTTAGTCAACAATATTATAATATTATAACTATGTAGGGTAACTACTTAGTGTTCAATTCTTCAATCCTATAATCAACTGGGACTATTTCATCTTTCAAATTTATGACTAAGTTTGTATAGGACTAGGACTTAGTTTGTTTAGTAAATTCTTGTTATGTAGTTAACTTCATTCAATATGGTCACTTATTCTAACCTTCCAATTCTCTTATCATGAACAGAGCTCATTTTAATGGACAAATCATGGATAGACATGCCTCGAAATACAAGTCAATATATGGCAGGATTGAATACTTTTTTGGACTTCGCATTCAGTAATAGTGGTGTTAGGGGAAAGATAATATGCCCATGTCAGAAATGCAATTTTAAGAAATGGCAATTTCGTGAAGTAGTATATGAGCACTTAATTGTTAAACCTTTTCCAAAAGGGTATACAATGTGGCTTCTACATGGGGAGAGAAGAATAAATGAAGTAGGTGTCACTACCCTATTATTTCCATACATCTTGTTTCACTACCCTATTATTAAATGTTGTATGTAGGAAAAAATTGAAGCATATGAATCTACAAACACATCCTCCTCTCAAACAAAAGAAACATCAAGTTCAAATTCATTGGCTCTTGCTTTAGGAAGCCAAGAGCATTGTGGACGCGTTTGTGGTCTAGGTTTGGGTCCTTGCCCATCTAAACTCTTTGGCATCCATGGTCATTGTCATAGTGGATCATCTTCAACTTCTCCTTCTTATGCAGAACTACAAACTCAGGTTTATACTTGTTTTGTTGTTTTTATCAATAATTTGTTTGCTAAAAAATATTCTTACTTTTCAAATAATTTTTTTCATTCAGGTATCTTCATTGACATCACAAGTCAATGAAATGAAGGCAATGATGACATTTATGTTGCAAAATTATCCTGGACAAGTTCCTTCACGTTTTAATATTTTCCAACCATCACCAGTAATAATTCTTAAACTTGTTTAATTATTTCTTTTTAATATATAATCTACTAACTATTATTTTATATTGTAGGTATTTGATCAAGAAAGCATGCCAAATGAGGAAGAAAATGAAGAACAAGATTGATCTTGTTATTCAAAACATTTTTTAATTTGTTATTCAGAACATGTTTATTTTTAATTTTTAGAAATGAACTTATGCTATTTCTTAGGTTTAATACTTATTTTGGTTTCTATTTTCGTCACTTTAGTTCAAAGTGGTAATAAACATTTTTACGACATTTAAAGTGATCCTGTTTTGTAAAATTTGTTCAATTTACTCATTTTCGTTGATAACATCAACATCTAAATCGTTAACAACCTAACGTCCATCTAAAAAAACAGAATGAGTTGTCATGCATTAGAACTCAGTAGTTGGCTCGTGATTTAATGGGACAGAAGTTGTGTTGTTTCTAATTTTGGTTGCACGATTTGGGTTTTCTATGGTGGGATTCTGGTTCTAGTTTTCTTTGTAGGTTTGGGCAAAGATGAATGTGTGAAGGGGAACACAAAAGAGGTGTGAGCTTGATTGCGCAAACTGTGGTTGATGATTCACGAGTGGCTATGTAATTTGGATGGTTATTTGTGTTTTGGTTTGCAAGTTTGCGAAGATAAAGTCGCAATGGAGGGATTTCGCGATTGTAGCGGAGAAGGTGAACTAGGGCTTTGTGTGGTGGGTGTTTCCATGGTTGTTTTTCTGGTTCTTTGATGTTACAGGTTAGGTGCAAAGATGAATGAGATTTTGCAGTGGTCTGGTTCGCGTGGAGGAGGCTCGTGGATCTGGATGATGGTTTGGGGATTTTGAGTTTTTTGGTCTCTGTTTGCAGATTGATGCATGATGGAGGGGATTTCGTGATTACAGTAGAGAAGGTTAACTAGGGTTTCGTGTAGGTGCTTCCATGGTTGTGTTTCTAGTTCTTTGATGTTGTAGGTTGGGTACGAAGATGAAGGAGATTTCGTTGTGGTTTGGTTCGCGTGGAGGAGGCTTGTGGATCTGGATGATGGGTTGAGATTTTTTTGTTTTTTAGTCTCTATTTGTAGGTTAATGCGCGAGAAGATGACGATGGAGAAGATGAGTGTCACCGGTGTTGTTCCCAACATGGTTGGTGCGTGACGGAGGAGGAAACCACTTTGACTTACCATGTTTCTACGTTACATTCCTTGAACATGCCACATACATGAAAAATTAACAACTCATTCAATATTTACTTGTAAGGACATTTCGTTGTTAATGAGTTAGAGGTCGTCAACGAAAAAAGTTAAATTAAAAATTTTTACAAAAAAAGAAAATCACTTTAAATGTCAAAAAAAAATTTGAGATTATTTGAACAAAAATAACGAAAATATAAATTAAAATAAATATTAAGTCTATTTTTTAAGTTGAGAAATTAATTGTAATTGTAATGTTTACATTTTATTTTATATAATAATTACTTTTGATTTTCAGATTAATTTGTTAATCAAATTATTTTAGATTAATTAATTTATTTTAATTAATCTAAAAATACAAGTAAGTTTCATGGAACCCTGCAAATATTGCCAATTTATGTGAAAACCCATGTAAATGGTTGCTATTAAATAAAGGGCAATGATACTTTGACAACATTTTTTTGATAACATTTTAACATTGTTTACGTGTCATTCTGTGATTGGTTCAAAATTATTTCACAATCAATAATAATAATCATTAACACCAATATAGACCAATCACAGAATGACACCTAGACAGTGTTAAAATGTTGTCAAAAAAATGTTGTCAAAGTATCATTATCCTTAAATAAATCCCCGTAACTAGCGACACTTTCTAAAATATCCTCACAAGTAATGACATTTACGAACAAAGCCTTCGGAAATGATTTTGACGGTGATTTTCCTCGCAGTTTTGCCAACCGCAGAAAATGTTTACTAGAGGTTAAAACCCCTGCAGAAAGAAAAGTCTTGGTAAAATCATTTATTTTAGGTTTAATACCCAATTTTGTCCCCACTTTGGTTCGAAAATCTCAAGTTAGTCCCTTTATAGAAATGTGAGTGCAATGGATCCTTACTTGTAATTATTTGAGTCTAATGAGTCCCTTCCGTTAAATAGAAGGAAACGGAGTTAGTGGACTGATGATGTGGCAGTAGTCATTGGTGAGGTGTCAAAACGCAATTAAAAATTTATAAAAATGAGAAAAGAAGAGTCCATGTCAGTGGGGGCAAAAGGGAAATGTCCTTGGACTGTGCTGCAAATCCTCCTCCCTCCGAAGACTGAACGCAAGATCCGAGCTGAAGATGGTATTGATAATCTTCATGGGACCAGCATAGGACGAACCAGGAAAAAAGGCATACGCAATTCCCTTCTTATCCGAATCCGCAGGCATTGAATCCTGAGCATCCTTCCACCACCTGAAACACACGGAATCAACCACCGACTCTCTTCACACATTCAATCTCAATCAAACAATGCAGACAGGCTCGGATCACAGCAAAATCGGTACGAGGCACAACAAAATCAACAAGCTAGCCAGTTCGATTATTCGAGGAAAAACATTAAAAATACATAAAACCGATAAAATGGAATTCCGCTTCGCCTCGATCGGCCCAACCCTAAACGTGCATTGTTAGTTCCGTTGCTTTGGATTACGGAGATTCACAGTGAGGAAATGCACTCACAGATTTAGGGAAAGTTAAATAAGGCGCTAATTGAATTGAAGTGAGAAATGAGTGGAATCTTGAAAGGGGAGACCTGTGAGGAACGAAATAGACTCGCTGGTCCTTGTGTGAGTGTGGTCGCTGAGAGTTATCGGAGCTATCTTCGGAGGCACAGTCCATTGCAGAGAGAGATTTAGAATTCGCTTCCAAATTGTGCAGATTATTTATAAAGCCAGAGAAAGCAGAAAATGAGAGAATTGCAGAGAAAGAAGTAACTCGCCAACTGCAAACCACCACTGCTCCGTCTTCCCGCGATCACTGCCTCTGTTCTTTTCCACACACGAACATGCCCTAATTTAGAACAAATTATCCCCAAATCATTTTATCCCCAATTTCTAAGAAAATCCAATTTCAAAATCAGGTACCGTAACACCAGGTAAGCACGCACACATTGCGTCTTGACACCTCACCAATGACTACTGCCACATCATCAGCCCACTAACTCCGTTTCCTTCTATTTAACGTAAGGGACTCATTAGATTCATATAATTATAAGTAAGGATCCATTTTACTTACATTTCTATAAAGGGACTAACTTGAGATTTCCGAACCAAAGTGGGGACAAAATTGGGTATTAAACCTTTATTTTATTTTTGTAGTGTTTGTATTTTTATGTTTTGCAAATTTTATTATTACATATTTCTTAAGAAAAATTAAAAACACACATGAAACTTTGCTTTTTTTTAACTATATTTAAGAAAAAGCTTGAAAAAAAGGCCAGATATTGTGGAGGTAAGATTTGTTGCATCATCTAAGTGTTGTCGTTATCCTCTTCTTGAATTGTGTCTTGTATTCTTCATGGTAATAAGTTTATGTTTTGTGAGTGGAGTTGAAATCGAATTTTATTGAGTCCCCACTGTAGATGTCAATTTGTTTCGATAAAAAACTGAGCGTCATTTATGGAAGATAAATAAAAGAACTATTGATCTAAAGTAAAGTATAGAATATTCAAAATAAAATAATTCTATCCATTAATTATAGAAATTAATATTTTATTTATAAGCAAAATAATTATAAATAGTATATTATCCAAGATATTACAAAATATTTAAGTTACAAACAATAATGATTAAAATATAAAAATTATAAAGATAATAAATACGTCTCATATCTTTATATATCCTTTACAACAATATTTAATAATAAAATTTAAACTAAATATTGGACAAACTTAGTCCCAATTCTGGATTCAGGAACTTTAGATGGACTTTTGAATGTTTAATATATAGTATCGGGTCCGAGACGGTACATATATGAAATAGATTTGACTTTTGTCTTTCCACAAGTTACTTTTTTTTCTATTTTTTTTTTTCAATTGAACACCCTTCATGAAATCTCTAAAATTCAACTCTTCTGATAATAACCTTCACAGGCCACAATTATTTTTCTCTGAAAGTGAAAGTGGAAACCCCACAAGGGAAACATTTTTCTTATCACTCAACACGCTTAATGGAAGTCTGTAACATTTGAAATGAGGTTTCTTTTGACAACCGTCAGAGTTCACACCCATTTTTCTCGGAAAGTTCGTCTAAACCCCACATATAACGTCTCTATTTGACTGTAAGAATTTTTTTAAGTTTAAATTCACTTTTTTCCCTTTTGTTTTTTGAACTTGAAATTTCAGTTTTTATAAAGTTTTAATTACAAATATGATTTTCCATTTTCTAAAATTGAACAATTTTTTATTTGACTATTAAGACAATTCTTTTCACATTTCCTGCGCTTGAAAAGTAACTTAGATTTCATTTGAAGTACTTTGGAATGAGTTCTACGAGGTTGAAGCTATCATTGTACGTCATAAGGTCTTTTTTTTATTTTCTATTGTTTTCCTTTTGGCCAAAAAAGTAACCTGGCTACCCATTTACGCGAAATCTTCATCACAGTGAGGGGTTTCTCTCATCCAAAAATTGGAGGTTGTCTCTCTGTTCGTGGTGGGTGAATGGCTGAATGCAAACCTTGCTCTCTTTTTTGAGAAAGAATACAATGGTCATGCACAACCAAATTCTGAGATGGCTGAAGAAACCAAAGGTACTAAAACTTGTATGTCTTGCTTCATCTGTTGTTGGACTGTTCTGTTATGCTCTCAGTTCCTCTTTCAACCATTTACTGGGAAACTGGAGCTGGTGGAAGATCCTTCTTTATATTGTTCTCAGTTTCATCATTTGTCTAGCCATCTTTTTCACACCGGCAAGGTCAAGTTCCACCTCTTTCCGGCTGGAAACTCATTTGGCATTTTTGGTTCTGATAATCACTTCTGTTTGTTCCTTTTTGTTTGATAACGTGGTGAAGAGTAATCCAGATGTATACAACCTCATCTCTTGGGCGGCTTTTGCTACAATGTCGCTTGGCTTGTCAAATCTCACTCAATTTGGATTCCAGATTGATCTACTATATTTCTTCTGCGGAGGTCTAACAGTACAACTCATGAAGATCAAATTGTGGTTAGTCACTGTTGGAGGGGGTTTCAGTTATTCCCTCCTCCAGCTTCGTTACTATCCGAGCGACACAGACGGGGAGAACCTTCGGCTCGAGGACCACAATCAAATAATCATTCAAGTTAATGACTCAGAGAGTGTTAGTAGTACAAGTCACGAAGAAGCTAATGCTGATGTTGATAGTACTCAAGGCACCTCACCAGAAGATGGGGATCTTAGATTCCAAGACCATCTACTCACTCAAAGCAATTCACATTCACAAGATGGAAGCGTTGATGATGGTCTTATCATCCAACAACAGCTCATGAATTGTATAAAGGAGCTTGAGAAGGAGAATCATATGCTTGTTTACATGGTTTGTAGTCACGTGGACAAATACCTTAAAGCCGTGTTCGACTCCAAAGAAGTACCGGATCCTGACATCAACTTAGTGATGGATGCACTTCCATCGGAAATCATGAGGCGCCTTAAGGAAACCGTGAAGCTGATGGTGGATGGAGGTTTTAAGGAGGAATGCAGCGACATTTACATCAAATGGCGAAGGGAGTTTCTAAAACAGTGTCTGCAGAAACTTGGGTTGCAAATTGAATTGCAATTTGAAGAGTCCAACGAATGGAAGATTATGAACTGGTTAGACACGTGCAAGGTAGCGGAGAAGATACTGTTTCCCAATGAAAGGAAACTCTGCGATTACCTCTTCTCAGGGTTTTCTGTCGCTGCGGATGTTTCCTTCGATAAGGTTTGCGAGGAACTGACGATTGGTTTATTAAGTTTGTCAATGCCACCATAACAATAGGGAGCTATTTGTCGAATCTTTTGCTCGATTTCTTTCCTAAAATGTCGAACTCATTGGGCAAGCTGGTTCTGAATTTCACTTCAGAGACGTCGTTTGTAGATGATATTCAAGACGTTCGGCAAAGATTGGCTATGCTAAACAATTTTGGGCTTATTGTTTACACTAATAATGTGCAGGCACCAGTCACCGTCAGAGGGCTTCATCTAATTACTATGGAAGCAATGGATTACATCCATTGGATAACAAAGAAGAGGGCTGATCGATCTGACAGCATCGGAAATTTTTTATTTTGGGTGATGATAGTAAGGATGATTGAGTTGTTAGAGAACGAGTTGGTAGCCAAGTATGAAAACTACTATCCTAACCCTGCATTGGGCCATGCTTTTATGATCAATAATCTCAGTTACATAGAACAAAAGACGCGTGATTTGAAATTGAACGATGATTGATTTAGACAAAACGCAGCAAAGGTGGAACAATACTGCAACGTGCATCTAAGAAGTAAGTCACAACAAGCTAATGCTGATGTTGATAGTACTCTTGGTACCTCACCAGAAAATCTAAGAAGGATGTCACAACAAGCTAATGCTGATGTTGATACTTCTCTTGGTACCTCACCAGAAGATGGGGATATTAGATTTCGAAGCCATCTACTCATTCAAACCAGTTCACATTCACAAGAAGATGTTCTTATCATCCAACAACTCACGAACTGTGTAAAGGAGCTTGAGAAGGAGAATCAGATGCTTGTTCCCAGGGTTTGTAGTCACGTGGACAAATACCTTAAAGCCGTGTTTGACCCCAAGGAAGTACCGGATCCCTACATTAACTTGGTGATGGATTCACTTCCATCGGAAATTATGAGGCACCTCAAAGAAACCGTGATGCTGATGGTGAATGCAGGTTTCATGGAGGAATGCAGCGACATTTACATAAAATGGCGAAGGGAGTTTCTAGAACAGTGTCTGCGGGCACTTGGGTGGCAATTTCAGACGCCCAGCAATGACGATTTTGAGAAGTGGTTAAAAACGAGCAAGGCAGCTGCAAAGGTACTGTTTCCCAATGAAAAGAGACTCTGCGATTATCTCTTTTCAGAGAGACGTTTTGATGCGGATGTCTTCTTCGAGAAGGTTTACAAGAAACTGACGACTGGTCTACTGAGTTTTGCCGATATCACCATAACAACGGAGAGCCATTTGCCGAATCTTTTGTCCAACATCGTCCCTAAAATGTTGGAATCATTGCACGAGCTGATAGGGGAGATCTCAGCCATGTGTTTTCCCAAATTGTCGTGCGTACCTGATCTTGAAGACTTTCGGAAAAAATTGTCTATTTTATGCGGTTTGAGGAATACTATTTATACTAATAATGTGCAGGCACCTGTCATCCACGGAGGGCTTCATCTGATAACTTGGGAAACAATGAACTACATCCTTGATAATTCTGGCAACATTGGATATTCTTCATTTTGGGTGGTGATAGGAAGGATGATTGAGTTGTTAGAGAGCGAGTTGGAAGTGAAATCTAAAGACTACTACGCTGACCCCGCATTAGGCTATATTTTTATGATCAATAATCTCAGCTACATAGAACAAAAGACGCGTGATTTAGAATTCCACGATGATTGGTTTCGACAAAACACAGCAAAGGTGGAACAAAAGTGCAACCTATATCTAAGAAGGTCGTGGAATAAGATGGTGGAGTTTTTGAAGGTTGAGACAAAGGAGTGGGCCGAAGCTCATGTGGTAGCGGAGTTAATGATAGAAAATATCCGTTTGTTCAACCTGCACTTTGAGGAGACATGCACAATTCAATCTACATGGACGGTCTCTGATAAACAACTGAGGGAACGAATAATAAAATCCATTGAAGGGTTCTTGTTGCCAGAATATGGAAAATTTTATAACAGCTTTCTAGTTGTTCTTGGTAATCAAGCTGACGAGTATATTGAGTTTGGATTTCAAGACATTCGAAATTGTCTCAGCAATTTGTTTCTTCTAGATGAGGAGACGAATCTAGAATACAAGAAAAATGTATGAAGTTTGCAATAATTTAGAATACAAAATTTCATGGTCAAAAGTAACACTGTTACAAAATGGTTACTACGTTGTTGGGAAGGGGTTTTTGCACTGGGGGGAGGAAGCGGGGTTAGCGTTCATGAAAGGCGGCGCATCGGAGTGATAAGGGTTTTGCGGTTGGAGAAGGAAACAGAGGCGTGAGAGGTTACGACGGCGGGGGAAGAAGCTACTACGAAGGTGGCGAACGATGACGAAGGCAGCGGTGAAGAAGCAGAACCGTGGAAGAATCAGAACAGTGGCGACCCTGTTGTCTGGTCCGCTGGACACGGCGCAGCTGTGGACTCCGGCGGGTCCTTACAGTTCCTCTCCTCTGGCAACCTCCGCCTCGTCAACGGCTCCCGCTCCACCGTGTGGGAATCTGCCACGGCGGGCGCCACTTCAGCAGCCCTTGAGGATAGTGGCAAATTGGTAATTTTGAACAGCAGCACCGTCTGGTCAAGCTTTGACAACCCCCGATACCGTGGTTGGGTGCACTCTCAAAATTTCAGGGTTGGTAACCTCAAAGTTACATTTCTTATGAGACATTTTTAATTTAAGAGGTGAATTATTTTATTTTTTTAAAGAATTTAAAAAGTTTTATAATAAATGTTTGTTTGATTTAGAAATTTTGAAAGAAGTTAAAATTCTGTAATTTTATTAGAGTAATTATTTACTTATGACTAAAGAATTGGTTAACCATATTCAGAGGTCCCTATTTTTGTAGGTTGTTCTAGTTACATCCTCGTCTTTTAAGTTTTGTTAATTAAGTCCTTAATATGGAAAAATTGAATTAATTGGATCCTTACCGTTAAATCAACTTAATGGGATTAAGTTTTTTCTTGACGTGGATAATTTTGGAGACGTGGTGTGCGCATACCCTTATACGTGGCTTTTTATTAATGAAACTCTTGTACGTGACATTTTCTAAAGGAAACATTTAAAAAATTGGGGTTTTTCTGAAAGATTTTAAAATTAGGGTTAATTCAAATTTGAATTGAGAAGAGAAAATTTGAAGCTTCAAATTGGCAGGACGTCAACCATGGAAGCATCTTCGTTCTGCGTTCATCATCAAGCCCAGATTCACCTGCAAACAGAAACCAACCCAGAATTGCGCCAACGCAACAACAACCAAAAATCACCATCTTCATCATGAACCAAAAGACGCGAAGCTCCTCGCATGGTCATCATCTCCATTGCACAACCTACATTAGAAATCGGGACCAGAGAAAAGCAAATTCGCGCAACAGCCCAAGAACCCCAAATCAAACCCTAAGCGCAAATTTCATCTACCCCTCTTCTCCATCTCGCGCCACTCAAACCTTCATCCGTCAACCATGTCAACCAATCAAACCATAATCGTGTCACCCAGGAAACCATCAACACCAGTCCAATTCACTGAAGCCATGGCAGAATGCAAGCGGCCGCCGCAGAAGCAAGAGAGCGTTTTCCCCTTGCCAATTCTCTTCCTAATTTTAAACCAAATTTTGAAGACTCATTTTTGAAGTTTGAAAAGAGGTAGTAGAAGAGGAGACATATATCCGTGACGCAAAAAATCTGAAATCAAAGCCCAGAATTTTTCAGATGAAACTATGCAATCTCAACAGGGTACTTACGAATGCAATCTTCCCAGGGACTCTTGGGTGAGGGATTCACGTGTCTAAGAGCTTCCCACACCGCACTGTTACACTTGAATCCACTCCCAGACACAATCTGCCATACTTTGTTCCCCTTGCGTAGTTTCACCAACGTCGTCGGACCTCACGCTCTTCTCTCCAAAAGCCCTAATCTCTTCCGCGCTGATAACGTGGCACATAGTAACGAGGGAAGGTGGCATTACACTTGGTTCGTCGTTTGCCACATAAAAACAAAACTTAACGTCGTTCAGTTTTAAGGACTAAACATAAGAGTTTTAAAACTAAGAGGACTAAAATGAACAAACCTTTCGAAGAGGGATGAAACCCAAAATCGCTTGATAGTTTAGGGACTAAAAATATATTTAACCTTTTTTTAAATTCATATTTTGATATATGTATTTTGGTTTGATTAAAGTCTGCATAGGTTCAATTTGATTTAACTCAATTTAATATGGTTTTTTCTCCATTAAATTTATATTGGTCAAATTTGACGTGATTTCTCTTATGCCAATTTCGATCAAGATAAATCCAGCTAAACTTGATACGACATAAATTTGTCCTGACTTGGCTAAACATGATCCTACACTTATTTAGCTTAACTTGGACTCGGGTTAACTCAACTCGATTGTGACTCATGTTGACTTGGACCCAGATCGACTTAGGTCGATTGAAGCATATTGATTTTGTTTAACTAAACTTTAGCCAACTCGACTCAACCTAGACCTAGGCTAGGTCGACTCAACCTAGGCTAGGACAAATTTTTCTCAACCTTGGTCGAGGTTGACCCAACTTAACCTAGTCTTTCTCGGGCTATGCTCGACCTAGTTTTAATCAGACTAGGACCCATCTGAGTCTAGTCCAATTCGGCTGAAAGTGGGTTGTTCCATTTCAGATGAACGTTGACATGCTACAAACTGGCTTGACTTGGACACAAGTTGACTCCGATCAACCTAGATCCAAACTAACTTTGCTAACTCGGGTCAACTAGATTGAATTTGGGATGAATTGACTCAATCGAACCTAGACCAACTTAACTCTATGAACTCTGAGTCGACTCAACTTGACTTGATTGAGCTCAAGATGACCCAACTTGATCGAGCTTGAGACAACTTGACTCGAATGTGACAACTCAACTTAATTGAGCTCGAATTGGCTTGACTTGAATGGGCCTGTGTCAATCTGACTTAAACTGGCTTGGGTTGACTCATCGAACTTGTGTTGATTGGAATTGATGAGACCTGGGTCTCAAGTGAATCAATTTAACATTGACCTTACTTTGTTGTTGTTAATGTCCTTACAAAAATTTTCTCTTTTCCATTTTATCAATTTACTTAAAATTGTTTTGAATTATAAATAGTTTTGTTTTTATGCACTAGATGTTTATAAGATTACATTAACAGTCAAATGAGTTATGTTATGTTAGAAATATATAAGCTAATATTATTTAATTAATTTTATTAGAAATATAATTATATATTTTAAAATTTTGATGATTTTATCTTAGGTTTAAACCTTCGGTTGATCCTTATATTTGTTGAGGAATCTCAAGTGGGCCCTCTTGTTGAAAACTATCTTAATTGGGTCCTAAATTTTGAAAAGGCTTAATACCATTGTTGGTCCCAATTTACGTCAACTTTGTTCGAAATGGTCCTAATTTTTTTAAAATGTTCAATGTAGTCAGTCATATATATCGTAATTTCTGTTCAATTTAGTCCTTTTTTGCAAACGTTGTTTGGTCAAAAGCTTATTCTACTTGGCCCAAAATACAAGGTCCAATTGAAATCCTACACTACTAGGCCCATAATACAAAACCCAAATAAAATCTAGACTACTTGGCCCATAATACAAAGCCCAAATAAAATTTAGACTACTTGGCCCAAAATACAAGGCCCAAAATTATTCCTACTCTACTAAATTTTCATGATGGCTTAAGATGACCCAAGAGAAAGAGTCTAGACCTATCTTCCATAGATGTCTCCAACTCTCATGAATGTACTAGGTCATGGCTAGGGGTATGCCATCAGATTACATGATGGATAACACCTTTATTTATAGGCTAAGGTATACTTGTCAATTTGGTCCCCTAACATGGTTTGACCCTGACCCACGTGGATTAAGGCCAGAAAAAGCCACAAGACCAAAAAGCCCCTCATAGAAAAAGCCCACAGGTCAAAATATCTATAAAAGTCCTGTGGACTAAAGCCAATCTATGGATTTTTTTTAAAATAATCTTAATTTTAAATACAAAAAAATGTAATTAATCCTAATTTGTTACAAATCTAAGTGTTATAATTTTTGAAAATAATCAAATTACATTTGATAGGCCAAAGTTATTGTCAAAAACATTTATACAAGTTTTCTAAAAGTAAAAAAGTAACAATATTTTTATAAAAATATTTAATTACTTAATTCATTGTCACATAAAATAGTTTAACAATTAACTTTCTGAAACTATATTTCAATTTTTGGATCCTACCTTCTTTAATTTTTTTCTTAGAAAAATGTTCAAAAACCATTTTTGAAAAATATTGTTTATTAAAAATGTTATTTATTTATTAAATACATATTAAAAAAACTAACAATAACTTAGACCCTCTTTAAAAAAATTAATAACAGTGATCAATAAATAATTAAGAAAATAATCAAATTATAATTATAAATATTGAAAAAAAAATTAAAAAGAAAACGAGACCTTAAAATTCGGTCAAAAATTGATTATGTTTCATATATTTCCAATTATAGGATTAATAATAAGTGTTGTAAGTTATTTATAATTCAAAAAACTATTATTAATTTTTTATAATAATAATAATAATAATAATAAATAACAATAACGTTGTTTAAATTTATTACTCTAGGATGACGTCAATCAAAATAGAATTTTTTTTTTATATTTTCGAGTTTGAATTTATCCAAAAAAATTTATGATTAGATTATTCGTATTAGGTATATCAACTTGTAGATAATTTTCACATCAAAATTAAATTATGATTTATTTTTAATAAGTTAAAAGTTGATGATTAATATTAAATTGAATATCTAAAAAAATATAAGCTTTAAATTTGACTTTTTTAGAAAAAAATAAGTATATTAAAAAAATTACATGAACAAACTCATTTTTACTTTAATTATCAAATTAGATCAGTTCATACTAATTGAGAATTTAATTTCTTGAAATTGAATATAAATTATGAATTTGTGAAAAGTAGAGATATTTGAAAATTAAAATAGACATAAGTTTATTTAGTGGAACTAAACCTACTTTAACATTGATCCTGATCCACTTGAGAGAGAATTTGGGTGTTAGGGTTTTCTTTTGCCCCTACTTGAGGGGCTTCCTAAGATGGGGATTTTGAAAGAATGGGTTATGGCTGCATGAGTCAAGTTGACACCTCTAACTTAAGGTGTCTCAAAATGGTTAGAAACTTTAACTTAAAAGAGCCACCTTGGTTGGTTTGGAGAACAAGGAGAAATTCTCTTCAATAGGAAGGAGACAAGTAGCAAAAAATCCTCTCAAATGAGAGAGTAACATGTGACCACTACCTGTGGAAATACTCTCCATTCCTAGAGGTGACACATGACCACTAACTATGAGGAAAACTCTTCAATATAAAGCCTCCACATGCCTTGGATGAAATTTTGCTCCCTTGTCCTCCAAGCTTAGCCAAAATGTTGACTCCTTGGTTAAGACACCCATTTTGGATGTCCAAGCATAGTCAACTATGGGCCTTGGCCCTTTGTTGAATTGTTTGGTCAAAATCCTATTCTACTTGGTCCAAAATACAAGGCTCAATTGAAATCCTACACTACTAAGTCCATAATATAAAGCCTAACTAAAATCTAGACTACTTGGCCCATAATACAAAGCCTAAATAAAATCTATACTACTTGGCCCAAAATACAAGGCTCAAAATTATTCTTACTCTACTAAATCTTCATGATGACTTCAGATGGCTCAAGGAAAAAAGTCTAGGCCCATCTTCCGTAGATGACTCTCACTCTTCATGAATGTGCTAGGCCATGACTAGGGGTATGCCAACATCCCCTCCGTCTTAAAAATGATTTGCCCTTAAATCTTCAACATGGGCTAAAGGCAAGTTCCTTTTCTTCATAATCTTCATTTCTTCCTTATTTTCCATCAAGATCAAATACCTATTTTATACACAAGTTAGAACAAGTGTTATAATAGCGAGTATGTGAAGGATATAACTTTCAAGAAGGATACACCTTAAATCAAATGAATGATTAAGGTATTAGAAAATAGGAGCAATTTTCTTTTGATTTCCCACACAAGGATCCTTTGGGTCTTTTCTTGCCATGTTTCTTGAGGAAAATGGCAAGGAGACCTTTACATTTTTACACAAGCTTTGTGCCCTTAACATCATAATTTGCTTGTTGGGGGCATTCTTGTGAATTGTGCATCATGCTTTGACTCTTAGAACACAAAGTGTCTTTTATTTTCTTTTTACCTTCTTCTTTTTCTCTTTCTTTTTCTATTTTCTTTCTCATTTGTGCTTGATCCTCTTCCTCTTCAACAGATTTTGAAAGTCGTTGAAGCCTTCAATGGATTTCAAAAGTCGTTGAAGCCTTCAACAAATTTCTAAATCTGTTGAAACCTTCAATGTTTTTTCTTATTTAATTTTTATTTAATACTTTTGATATGTTTTTAATTATTTATTTTTTAAATAATTTTTTATAGTTTCTGTATATACTTTTAATTATATAATTAAATTTTATTTAATTAATTTTTATTTAAATTTTTTTATAGGTTTAAAATTTATAGAATTAGATTTTTTTGAATTATTTTTGATCTATTTTTATTTAATTTAATAAATTTTTAATTAATATTTTTATATTAAATTTATTATTTTTATTTAATTTTTTAGTAGTGTTTGGATGGGTTTCTAATTTTTATAATTTAATATTTTTTAGTTTTTCTATAATTGAATTTAAATTATTTTTAATAATTAACTTTTGTTTAATTTTTTGGATAGGTTTATAATTTATTTAATATAATTTTATTTTTAATTATATTTTGTTTAGTTTTGGATACGTTTATAATTTATTTAATTTATTATGTTGTTTAATTATTTAATTGTGCTTTATTTAATGAATTAATTTTTGACTAAAATGGCAAGAATCTAAGGTGCATCTACTTATCAAGGAGAGAGTTCTTCATAGGATGAAGGAAGGAGAAAACCTACAACTTCAGCTCGTAGAAGGCGTGAAGTTGATAATGATGTTCATGTAGATGACCCTACAATTGAGGAGCATGTAGTTGAGGACAAGGAGCATCAGGATGTTCCTCGTGAGGAAGTTGGAGGATTTGCAAGAGGTCCATAAGATCCTTCCTTATTAATGCATTATGTTAACCATTTTGCTTACGTCATATGGCAAGGTCGGGTGAGTGCACAACTTTAATTTTAATAGTTATTGTTTAGTTTGAATAAATTTTATATTAAATATTATTGTGTAGGATCGAGAAAAGATCAAGTTGATCTCTCACGGAAAGAAGCTAAATAAATTAGGACCCTACGCGAGGGAATTCAACAATTTGTGTTGAATTCTGGTTTGATGCCTCTCACCGACATCTCGTATGACTACACGAATAAGGGCTTTTTGTTGACATTCGTTGAGATATGACACTTTGAGACAAGCAATTTTCATCTCCCCATGGATGAGATGATAGTGACTCTGGATGATGTGTTGTCATTGCTGGATGTTTTGGTTCTATGACAGTTCTATAATATCGAGGAGTTGGAGTATAAGAAGCTTAGACAATCATTGTCGAGCTTCTAGGCGTCAATCACGGAGGGTTGGTGGTGAAATGATGGAAGTTAGACTAAACTGTTGTAGTTCATTTCTCGACCCTCTCAATGGTCGTTTGTTCGCATATCTTTCGTTGTAAATTTGTTTAATCATTGTCACATTACGATAATTATTTTCTTTCAGAGTTAATAAAATATTTGCAGGTGTAACTTTAGTCTTATTCATATCACAAATAATGATTGTTCACTCAGATTTAACCTACTAACATAAGGGTGACCAACTAAAGTTTCAGCCAAATCGTGGTTGTGATATCCACACATGACCTTCAAGACTCATCCGTCCCCATTAGAAGATGGTTTACCCTTTAACTAAAAGGGCTCTTACATTTTCGAGTCCTATATACATTAGGCTCCACATCAGGTTTATATTTCCTATACTTTTCACCTCTTTCACGTCCAAGCAAGATGAACGTCTTTCTTTCTCGTTTACCAGTAGCTTTGTCAGCAGTAACCACCACAAATTGTAGATCATGAACAATCCCTCTCACCTATTCAATTAAGTGATCACAAGAGAAAAATATTTCGTTCGTAGTAAAATTATTTGTGAGATATTTCTCTCCAACTTCTTGTATGAAAGAAGAAAAATATGTTATAAAGCTAAAGTATACTTTAAGATCCATACCATAAAGACATTCTTTCATTTTAAATATTCACCTATAAAATAATATTCATTTTTCAATATGTAACATCATCCATAATTAAATAAAAATGTAAAAATTTGATAAAAAAGCTAAATAATTGTTAAACAATAAAAATTCAAATAATTAATCATCTATAAAATTTATAATAAATTAAAAATAATAAATAACTTATTCTAATATAATAAACAAATAAAATAATAAAAAAATTAGCTTGAGGCACAAAATGGATTTTGAAATCCGTTTTGCCATTCAGCAAATTCCAAAATTTGTTCGTCTTTAGTTCGATATCCATTAAAGGCCTCCATCTAAACATTTTCATGCACCTGAGAGAAAAACTGCTTTATCTTGCACAAATCATCTTTATTTTTATTTCTTTCATTTGAACACGCTTCATGATGTCTCTAACATATGACCCTTCATCCACTAGTATTTGGAAAATGTTTTTTAAACATCCAATTCAATCACAGTTGAAAACCATTGACAGTAATATACTTATTTAAAAAAGTAAATTTTTATATTTATAGAAAAAAAAAGATAAAAGATCAAAAAATAAATGAGAAGTAAATGTAAAAATTTATTAAATGTCAGGATCCAAGTCCTTTTTATTGTAAGTGAAAGTTGGTGGAAACCCCACAAGTGAAACATTTGTTCTTTGAACTCAACACGCTTTAAGAAAAGCCTTTAACATTTGAATTGAGAGTCTCTTGACAACCTTCACACTCCACGGTTAATTTTCTCAGAAATTTCGTGGAAAAGATAAGGTGTGGAGTCTATATGACTCAATGAGTGTAATTTTATAAGAATTTTTTTAGTTTAAATTCACTTTTTTTTTTCTGTATTTTTTTGAACATGAAATTTTAATTTTTATAAAGTTTTCATTACAAATATGATTTTCCATTTTCTAAAGTTGAATAATTTTTTATTTGACTGTTTATAAATTAACATTTTGCAGGACAAAAATTGCACACTGACAAAATCATAAGTAACAGAAATAGACAATTCCTTAAACATTTGCCCCGCTAGCAAAGTAACCTAGATTTCATTTGAAGTACTTTGGAGTGAGTTCTTCGAAGATGAAGTTGGCATTGTAGGTCAAAAAGGTGTTTTAGTTTACTTCCTTGGTTTCCTTCTAGGCCAAAAGAGTAACACGGTTCCCCCTTTCGGCAGAACTTTCGGCTAGGGGTTTCTCATTGAAAAATGGAGGCTCTCGCTCTGTTTGTGGTATGGGAATGCCTGAATGCAAACCTTGCTCTCTTTCTTGAGAAAGACTACGATGGCCATGCTCAACCAAATACTGAGATCGCTGAAGAAACCAAAGGTACTGAGACTTGTATGTCTTGCTTCATCTGTTGTTGGATTGCTCTGTTATGCACTCAGTTCCTCTTTCAACCATTTACTGGGAAACTGGAGCTGGTGGAAGATGCTTCTTTATATTGTTTTCAGTTTCATCGTTTTCCTTGCCGTCTTGTTCGCACCGGCAAGGTCGCGCTCCACCTCTCTCCGGCTGGAATCTCATGTGTCATTTTTGGTTCTCATAATCACTTCTGTTTATTCCTTTTTGTTTGATAATCTCGTGAAGGGTAAACCAGATGCATACAGCCTGGTCTCTTGTGCTGCTTTTGCTACCATGTCACTTGGCTTGTCAAATCTTACTCAATTTGGATTCCAGATCGATCTACTATATTTCTTCTGCGGAGGTCTACTAGTACAACTCATGGAGATCAAAATGTGGTTAGTCATTGTTGGAGGGAGCTTCAGTTATTCCCTCATTCAAATTTGTGATTATCCGCGCCACACACAACGGGAGAATCTTCCCCTCCAGCTCCAAAATCTAGTAAACATTCAAGTTGATCCACGGAGTGTTAGTAGTAGCAGTCATGAAGAAGCTTATGCTGATGTTGATAGTACTCAAGGCACCTCACCAGAAGACGGGGATCTAAGATTCCAAGACCATTTGCACACTCAAAATAATTCACCTTCACAAGATGNAGGCCCATCTTCCGTAGATGACTCTCACTCTTCATGAATGTGCTAGGCCATGACTAGGGGTATGCCAACATCCCCTCCGTCTTAAAAATGATTTGCCCTTAAATCTTCAACATGGGCTAAAGGCAAGTTCCTTTTCTTCATAATCTTCATTTCTTCCTTATTTTCCATCAAGATCAAATACCTATTTTATACACAAGTTAGAACAAGTGTTATAATAGCGAGTATGTGAAGGATATAACTTTCAAGAAGGATACACCTTAAATCAAATGAATGATTAAGGTATTAGAAAATAGGAGCAATTTTCTTTTGATTTCCCACACAAGGATCCTTTGGGTCTTTTCTTGCCATGTTTCTTGAGGAAAATGGCAAGGAGACCTTTACATTTTTACACAAGCTTTGTGCCCTTAACATCATAATTTGCTTGTTGGGGGCATTCTTGTGAATTGTGCATCATGCTTTGACTCTTAGAACACAAAGTGTCTTTTATTTTCTTTTTACCTTCTTCTTTTTCTCTTTCTTTTTCTATTTTCTTTCTCATTTGTGCTTGATCCTCTTCCTCTTCAACAGATTTTGAAAGTCGTTGAAGCCTTCAATGGATTTCAAAAGTCGTTGAAGCCTTCAACAAATTTCTAAATCTGTTGAAACCTTCAATGTTTTTTCTTATTTAATTTTTATTTAATACTTTTGATATGTTTTTAATTATTTATTTTTTAAATAATTTTTTATAGTTTCTGTATATACTTTTAATTATATAATTAAATTTTATTTAATTAATTTTTATTTAAATTTTTTTATAGGTTTAAAATTTATAGAATTAGATTTTTTTGAATTATTTTTGATCTATTTTTATTTAATTTAATAAATTTTTAATTAATATTTTTATATTAAATTTATTATTTTTATTTAATTTTTTAGTAGTGTTTGGATGGGTTTCTAATTTTTATAATTTAATATTTTTTAGTTTTTCTATAATTGAATTTAAATTATTTTTAATAATTAACTTTTGTTTAATTTTTTGGATAGGTTTATAATTTATTTAATATAATTTTATTTTTAATTATATTTTGTTTAGTTTTGGATACGTTTATAATTTATTTAATTTATTATGTTGTTTAATTATTTAATTGTGCTTTATTTAATGAATTAATTTTTGACTAAAATGGCAAGAATCTAAGGTGCATCTACTTATCAAGGAGAGAGTTCTTCATAGGATGAAGGAAGGAGAAAACCTACAACTTCAGCTCGTAGAAGGCGTGAAGTTGATAATGATGTTCATGTAGATGACCCTACAATTGAGGAGCATGTAGTTGAGGACAAGGAGCATCAGGATGTTCCTCGTGAGGAAGTTGGAGGATTTGCAAGAGGTCCATAAGATCCTTCCTTATTAATGCATTATGTTAACCATTTTGCTTACGTCATATGGCAAGGTCGGGTGAGTGCACAACTTTAATTTTAATAGTTATTGTTTAGTTTGAATAAATTTTATATTAAATATTATTGTGTAGGATCGAGAAAAGATCAAGTTGATCTCTCACGGAAAGAAGCTAAATAAATTAGGACCCTACGCGAGGGAATTCAACAATTTGTGTTGAATTCTGGTTTGATGCCTCTCACCGACATCTCGTATGACTACACGAATAAGGGCTTTTTGTTGACATTCGTTGAGATATGACACTTTGAGACAAGCAATTTTCATCTCCCCATGGATGAGATGATAGTGACTCTGGATGATGTGTTGTCATTGCTGGATGTTTTGGTTCTATGACAGTTCTATAATATCGAGGAGTTGGAGTATAAGAAGCTTAGACAATCATTGTCGAGCTTCTAGGCGTCAATCACGGAGGGTTGGTGGTGAAATGATGGAAGTTAGACTAAACTGTTGTAGTTCATTTCTCGACCCTCTCAATGGTCGTTTGTTCGCATATCTTTCGTTGTAAATTTGTTTAATCATTGTCACATTACGATAATTATTTTCTTTCAGAGTTAATAAAATATTTGCAGGTGTAACTTTAGTCTTATTCATATCACAAATAATGATTGTTCACTCAGATTTAACCTACTAACATAAGGGTGACCAACTAAAGTTTCAGCCAAATCGTGGTTGTGATATCCACACATGACCTTCAAGACTCATCCGTCCCCATTAGAAGATGGTTTACCCTTTAACTAAAAGGGCTCTTACATTTTCGAGTCCTATATACATTAGGCTCCACATCAGGTTTATATTTCCTATACTTTTCACCTCTTTCACGTCCAAGCAAGATGAACGTCTTTCTTTCTCGTTTACCAGTAGCTTTGTCAGCAGTAACCACCACAAATTGTAGATCATGAACAATCCCTCTCACCTATTCAATTAAGTGATCACAAGAGAAAAATATTTCGTTCGTAGTAAAATTATTTGTGAGATATTTCTCTCCAACTTCTTGTATGAAAGAAGAAAAATATGTTATAAAGCTAAAGTATACTTTAAGATCCATACCATAAAGACATTCTTTCATTTTAAATATTCACCTATAAAATAATATTCATTTTTCAATATGTAACATCATCCATAATTAAATAAAAATGTAAAAATTTGATAAAAAAGCTAAATAATTGTTAAACAATAAAAATTCAAATAATTAATCATCTATAAAATTTATAATAAATTAAAAATAATAAATAACTTATTCTAATATAATAAACAAATAAAATAATAAAAAAATTAGCTTGAGGCACAAAATGGATTTTGAAATCCGTTTTGCCATTCAGCAAATTCCAAAATTTGTTCGTCTTTAGTTCGATATCCATTAAAGGCCTCCATCTAAACATTTTCATGCACCTGAGAGAAAAACTGCTTTATCTTGCACAAATCATCTTTATTTTTATTTCTTTCATTTGAACACGCTTCATGATGTCTCTAACATATGACCCTTCATCCACTAGTATTTGGAAAATGTTTTTTAAACATCCAATTCAATCACAGTTGAAAACCATTGACAGTAATATACTTATTTAAAAAAGTAAATTTTTATATTTATAGAAAAAAAAAGATAAAAGATCAAAAAATAAATGAGAAGTAAATGTAAAAATTTATTAAATGTCAGGATCCAAGTCCTTTTTATTGTAAGTGAAAGTTGGTGGAAACCCCACAAGTGAAACATTTGTTCTTTGAACTCAACACGCTTTAAGAAAAGCCTTTAACATTTGAATTGAGAGTCTCTTGACAACCTTCACACTCCACGGTTAATTTTCTCAGAAATTTCGTGGAAAAGATAAGGTGTGGAGTCTATATGACTCAATGAGTGTAATTTTATAAGAATTTTTTTAGTTTAAATTCACTTTTTTTTTTCTGTATTTTTTTGAACATGAAATTTTAATTTTTATAAAGTTTTCATTACAAATATGATTTTCCATTTTCTAAAGTTGAATAATTTTTTATTTGACTGTTTATAAATTAACATTTTGCAGGACAAAAATTGCACACTGACAAAATCATAAGTAACAGAAATAGACAATTCCTTAAACATTTGCCCCGCTAGCAAAGTAACCTAGATTTCATTTGAAGTACTTTGGAGTGAGTTCTTCGAAGATGAAGTTGGCATTGTAGGTCAAAAAGGTGTTTTAGTTTACTTCCTTGGTTTCCTTCTAGGCCAAAAGAGTAACACGGTTCCCCCTTTCGGCAGAACTTTCGGCTAGGGGTTTCTCATTGAAAAATGGAGGCTCTCGCTCTGTTTGTGGTATGGGAATGCCTGAATGCAAACCTTGCTCTCTTTCTTGAGAAAGACTACGATGGCCATGCTCAACCAAATACTGAGATCGCTGAAGAAACCAAAGGTACTGAGACTTGTATGTCTTGCTTCATCTGTTGTTGGATTGCTCTGTTATGCACTCAGTTCCTCTTTCAACCATTTACTGGGAAACTGGAGCTGGTGGAAGATGCTTCTTTATATTGTTTTCAGTTTCATCGTTTTCCTTGCCGTCTTGTTCGCACCGGCAAGGTCGCGCTCCACCTCTCTCCGGCTGGAATCTCATGTGTCATTTTTGGTTCTCATAATCACTTCTGTTTATTCCTTTTTGTTTGATAATCTCGTGAAGGGTAAACCAGATGCATACAGCCTGGTCTCTTGTGCTGCTTTTGCTACCATGTCACTTGGCTTGTCAAATCTTACTCAATTTGGATTCCAGATCGATCTACTATATTTCTTCTGCGGAGGTCTACTAGTACAACTCATGGAGATCAAAATGTGGTTAGTCATTGTTGGAGGGAGCTTCAGTTATTCCCTCATTCAAATTTGTGATTATCCGCGCCACACACAACGGGAGAATCTTCCCCTCCAGCTCCAAAATCTAGTAAACATTCAAGTTGATCCACGGAGTGTTAGTAGTAGCAGTCATGAAGAAGCTTATGCTGATGTTGATAGTACTCAAGGCACCTCACCAGAAGACGGGGATCTAAGATTCCAAGACCATTTGCACACTCAAAATAATTCACCTTCACAAGATGACATCCAGCAACAGCTTATGAATTGTATAAAGGAGCTTGAGAAGGAGAATAAGATGCTTGTTCCCTTTTTTTGTGGTCATGTGGACAAATACCTTGAAGCCGAATTTGGCTCCAAAGAAGAACCGTATGCTGATATCAACTTTGTGTTGGATGCACTTCCATCGGAAATTATGAGGCGCCTTAAGGAAATCGTGAAGCTGATGGTAGACGGAGGTTTCGTAGAGGAATGCAGCGACATTTACAGCACATGGCGAAGGGAGTTTGCAGAACAGTGTCTACGAGAACTTCTGCAATTTCAATTGCCCATCAAAATGGACTTTTGGAAGTGGTCAGCAGCGTGCAAGGCAGCTTGGAAGATGTTTTTTCCCAATGAAAGAAGACTCTGCGATTTCCTCTTTTCAGGTTTATCTGTCGCTGCGGATGTCTCCTTCGATAAATTTTGCAAGAGTCTGACGACTGTTCTACTGGAATATGCCCATACCATAACAACTCAGAGCTATACGCAGTATACGCTTCTCGTGGACGCCCCTAGAATGTTGATGTCATTAGGCAAGCTGGAACCGGAGTTCATCGCTTATAACAATTTGTCGTTCGTACGTGATGTTCGAGACATTCAGCAAAGATTGGCTATGATAAACAGCTTTAGGTATATTATTTACCCTGATATTGTGGAGGCACCTGCTACCGACGGAGGGCTTCATCTCATTACTAAGGAATCAATGAACTACATCCTTGGAATTTGTGAAGGTATGATATACCAGAGGGATTGTCAAACTTACTGCATCGAAAATTCTTCATTTTGGGTGGTGATAGGAAAGATGATTGAGTTGTTAGAGAGCGAGTTGGAACTCGAGTCTACACGCTTATACGGTGACCGCGCATTGCGCTATATTTTTATGATCAATAATCTCATACACATAAACCAAAGGACATGTGATTTGAAATTCGACGATGAATGGTTTCAACAACAAAAACGAAAGGTGAGACAAAAGTGTAACCTGTATTATGAGTGGACGTGGAACAAGATGATGGATTTTTTGACGGTTGAGACAAATGAGTCCGGGGAAGTGGTAGCGGATTTAATGATAAAAAAGATCCGTTTGTTCAACCTGCACTTTGAGGAGACATGCACACTTCAATCTACATGGATGGTCTCTGATAAAAAACTGAGGAAACGAATAACAAAACACATTGAAGGGTTCTTGTTGCCAGAATATGAAAATTTTTGTGGCAGCTTTCTAGCCGTTCTTGGTGATGAAGCTTGCTGGTATTTTAAGTTTACATTTACAGATATTCAAAATTGTCTAAGCCGTTTGTTTATGAATCTGAAATAAAAGAAAAATGTACAAAAAATTTTGAAATAAAATGCGTTTTTAGTTACTACTTTGGAAAAATATTATTTCATAGGAATGTTCGGCGTTGTTATACGTGTGTTAATTCTTACATGATATATTGAATATTAAAATCTGGACTTAATTGGTCTCCAAATTCAACATTTACTGTCTTGTTAGTATCCACTTTTAAAAACGTTTTTATTGCGTCCCAATGTAATATAATTGTATCAATCAAGTCCTATTCAGTTAACGGTGTTTAAATTCATAACATTAACTTTCTTGTATGATGTGTATTGTGCAAGCATTAGTGTTGTGACATTTACTTGACATGTATTAGGTTGACATGTCAGACACAGCATTTGTTACGTGCAAATTGAATATTTTAGGGTTGTTAAATGGAAAAAAAATTAATTAACATAATTAGGTCTTATGAGAATTGAGGTGTTTGACAAAAGAAACCGAATTTGGGAATTTTTTTATCGAGGTTTCATTTGGTGAGTGAATTGGTTTTTGTGAGGAAAGAAGGTTGGTCAACGAAGGAGTTTCGTGATCGAAGGAGTTTCGTGATCGAAGGAGGTTCGTGAGCGAAGGAGGTTCGTGAGCGAAGTAGGTTGGTCAACGTAGTGCTTTCATGAGTGAATAGGGTTCATGAGCGAATAGGGTTCGTGAGCCAAGTGGGTTCATCAACGAAGTTTGGGATTTCAAAGCGAAAGGTGCAATGTGTGTTTTTGATGAATTATTTTATGTAGTTGCGGTGAATTGTGTGTTGTGTTGTTGTCGTCCATAATATTGTGGTCCCCCATAATAACCTTGCCTTTGTTGTGGTCCCCTTGTGTTTTGTGTTTTGTATTTTGTGTTGGTCCCCTACTATTGTGTGTTTCGTTTTGGTCCCCCATTTGAAAATGAAATTTTTTTATGGTTTGTTGTTTCAATTCTTTATGGTATGTTGTTGTTCGTATATTGCATGTAGTTGGTTTGTGTTAAAATATAGGCTTAATTGCTTAATTGATGTGTGTCAGACAAAAACAATAACACTATAGAATATCCCCCTCTAAGGAAGCACTCCCCTCCATAGGAACAAATATCCTTTGTATAGAAAATGTTAAAATATAAGTTTAATCCTAACCTTATAAGGTTTTCCCCCCTTACCCAGCTAGCTGTTAACTGAATAGTTAACAATCTTGCCTCTCTAGAATTTTATTAATGTATGACATGGTCAACTGCATGTAACCTAACAACAACTTTTATTTAGGTATATAATACTTGACAATACTTGACATGTTCAACTCTGATATCGAAGTGGTGTTTCACTTGGGAGTAAGTTTATGAATGATGTGTTACTTAGATACGATGGAGTTGAAACCAGTACCTTGTTCGTTGACACAGATAGATGAAATTACTTTGAAATTTTTTCCATACTGAAGGAGATGGATTAAGATGAAGTTAATGAGCTTGGTGAAGTTTGTCAAGATGAAGATGAGGTTGTTGTGGAAGGTGAAGTTGTTCAACCTAAAGTTGAGAGAGAGGGTGAGGATGAGGTTAGTGAAGAAGGGAAGGGTAAAGGAGTGGATGATGTTGCTGAAGGGGAGGGTGAGGATGAGGTTGTTGTGGAAGACGAGAGTGAGGGAGGGGATGATGTTGTTGTTGAAGGGAATGGTGAGGATGAGTTTGATGTTAGTAGTTGGATTGAGTCCCAAGACGATTTTTTCAGTGAAGATTGTATGTGTGTTTAAAGCTAAGTAAGGAAAACTTTTTATCACTGTTAGACTAATTTTTGTCGTCTAAAATCAGAATAAATTAAGTTTCTCCACTAATGAAATATATGAACAACCTAGGTATCAATCCAAATACTCGAATAATTAAGTTTAGAAAATATAAAGTTAAATCTTGTACTATATTTACTAATGCAAGGGGACAGTAAAAAAATATTGAAATGAAAAAGAAAAGAATTGAAACTAAAATCTGTTTAAAGAGGAAAGAATATGAAATAAAAAGAAAAATAAAAGAATATAGAAATCTAAACTACCTGAGCGAGAACAAAACCTAATTACTATGACTAATATGATCTAAAGGTGTACAAATATACTATACATGTATACTACAATTGAGAAACCTAAATAATAAGAGACTAAAGGCTGAAACTAAAAGCATCAGAATTCAATAAAGTGCAGAAAACTTAAATGCAAAATTCAGAAATATCATAACAGGAAACACAATAAAAAAGGAAACAAAAATAGATCAAATCATGAACTCTGAAACGCACCAATCAAATAACCAGAAACATCAAACATCAAAGTAAACCTCAACTATCGCTATTAAAGCAATCAAAACTGAATCAACAATTAAACTAACGAAACCTTAAAATTGTATAACATCAAAAGTAAATCCAGAAATCATAATCAAAACAGAGTAATCGCAAGACAATCGAAATTTATTAAGGTGAAAATGAAGATTACAAGAAAATAATACCGTAAGAACGATGCCGAAGCGATCACGGGCTGTCACCACCGTGATATCTCGCTCAACAGTTCAAGTATGATGAAAATCTAACCTATGAAAAGCGAGTAAACCTAGACTAAAAAATGAATCGCAGCGCCCAGTGTTTGTCACCCACTGCTCTCGTGGAGTTTCTCACCCTCCACATGCTCTCGAACTCTCGCAATCTCTAAGTCTCGTGAGTGGAGTCTGTCACCCTCCACCCTTCACCCCCTCTAACTCTCTGTACAAGTCTCTTTTTATAGAGAAAACAAAAAAATGGAAAAAAATGGGAAAGGAAAAGAAGAACCCTTGACGCTTCAGACTTCCTTAGATCAGGCAGCCTCTGTTCATCATCCTCTCTAAGCCCTCCGATCGTCTTCAACCTTATTACCGCTTCAGCCTCCGCACGTGCGCTTTGGGTCTCCGCTTGTTCACAATCACGAGCTATGAAGCTCCTTTGCCTCTTTCGCACAAACCCTAACTTCAAAAGAGTGCTTTTCCTCGTTTGGACCTTTGCTCGAGAGATTGTTGGGTGTTGCTATCTCCATCACCACACCTTTCTCTTTCCACTTCCCAATTTATTTTAACTTCAATTACATCCTCACATTAAAATTTTTTATTTTTACTATTTTAATTTATTTCAAATCTAGTTCTCCTACTTTACTCCTGCATCCAATCTTTCCATCTCTCATTTTCGTTTAATAATTTGTCTTTCGTTTTACTCTGCAACTCAATCTGTCTTCTCCATTTCACTTCTCCTCCGTTTCTTTCTTCTTCATTTTCTTTACATTATTAAAATACATTAAAAATATATTCAAAAATAATAAATCAAAACATTTAAATTAAATTATTAAAATATTTCCAAAATAAAGAATAAACTAATAAAAGAAACCCTAAAATAAAAAACGTAACTTTTAAACGGAGATGACATCCGTTGAAGGATTTTGACATCCGTTGAAGGATTTTGACATCCATTGAAGGATGTCTTAAAGGTTACGTTTTTTATTTTAGGATTTTATTTTCAGGTTTATTTGAATACGCACCTTGAGGAAGCAACACACTACACCACTCTACACACTACACTACGAGAGCGACACTACACCACGAGAGGGAGACTGCTTGATAATTTTTTCCACCACCACCAACCTTTGCAACTTGTAAAAGAAAGAGAGGAAGAAATATAATGTTAAAATGAAAGAAAAATATTTTACTCATGTACGGGACACTAGAATAGGTTATTAGTGGAATAGGTTATTAGTGGAATAGGTTGTGAATGGATAAAATTAAAAAATAACCCTAAAAATAAAATTTTACTTAGGGGCAAAATAGTAAATGGGAGGTGGAGGGAGAAAGGTGTGGTGGTGGAGGGAGCAATACCCGAGATTATTTCGCTCAAATGAATTGCTGGATCAAGAGGACCCTACGACATCAGCTTCACACACCAAAACGGCGTCGTCCTACTAACTAGAGCCCAAGGTCCAGCCAGCCCAATCTATATCTTAACAACATTTGCATTTCAGCCCAAAGCTTTTCAATTGATTCCTGTCAGCAGCAGTGGCCCAATTTCAATCCAATCAGCTCCAATTCAAAACAGTCCAAGTTTAATTCATTCAGTCCAAGATTTCTGCAATAAAGAAAAATCAATACAAAAATTAAAGAAAGTAAAGGAAATTTAACAAGTAAAAAGAGAGAATTTTTAACAAAAGGTTTTCTAAAAAAATATTAATATCCTAATTATTTACAAACACTAAAAATTACTTCTAAAAACTTAATTTTAACTACAATTTTACAAAACTACAAATATAAAGAAAAATCCTAAAACTAGCCTAATTCTACCCAATAAGAAACTAAAATGAACTAACATGGACTTCTAAACATAGAAAAAGTAGCAAAATTGGGGAGTTATCAATCACGTAGGCCTATTATATATTTGGATGGATGTTTCTGGAAAGGAAATATGGAGGTAAGCTATTAACTATTGTTGAAAGAGATGATAATGACCAAATGTGTCCCTTGGAATACACTGTTGTGGAAGTGGAGAATAAGAAAACATGGACTTGATTTTTAGAATAGTTGCTTGATGATCTTGGTGGTAGTGGAACTTATTCAAGATGTACATTTATGTCATATCAACAAAAACTAAGTAAATGTCAAACTTTCATTCATTACTTTCATACTGACTTTTGTCTTATGGCTTCGTAAGATGTACATTTAAGTCTCATACTTTCATTGATTACTTTGATAGGGACTTTTGCTAGCTTTACAACAACTTTCACTAAAAGAAAATTGCATTTTTATATACCGATTATTATATATGGATTTAAATCGGTATATAATAAGAATGTTAGATACGAATATTATATATGAATTTGTTATATACGGATTTTATATTCGGATTTATAATTAATTAATAAATAAATAAAATTAAGTTATTTTAGAATGTATATAGAAAAAGTCGCCAACCCTATTTTTTTTCTTCTTCACTCGCGCTGCAACCATTTCTCATTTGAAAAAGTGTCGAGCCACTCAGCCTCCTTCAATCCCACCACCAAACCTATTCTTCTTTCTCTTTCACTGCAACCCTTCCTAAATTAGTGTTCTGGTCGTGGTTCTCTCTCGTCGAGCCCTCCTTTCCCTTTAGTGGAGCCTCAATTCTCTTTTGTTGAGCTTTCGTAGGTCGCGCATTGAAACCCTAATTTTCCCTCATTCAAACCATCATTGTGCGGCCTTGGTACCGTGGTTAATTGGTAAGTAATGTTTAATTCTGATTCAGCTAAATTTTTTAATTGCAAAAACCCTAATCCTCTTTTTCTCTCATCCATTTTTGATTTATGCAATTCCTCACGCGATAAGGTTCTATTTCTTCCCCGCAAAGCTATTTTGCACGACTTTTTTTTTTCTACATTTATTTCCTCTTGTTAATCGCCCAAGATTTAAAGCTTCTATTGCACTAAAAAACAAATACTTTTCATGCTTGCGTTTTGATTTCCGTGAAGGCCTCCAAAGGTCCCAAATCGAATATTGATCACGAGAGTAGAGATAAACTGCAAAAGGTTAGTTCACGTGTTCATCTTCTTAGTAGTCGTCTCTCGACTTTTTAAATTTTTTTTGTTTTTTTTTGGATAATTCCGACTTTGAATGCTACTGCTATTACTAGTTGAGAAATTAAAAAGAAACTTATTAATAATTATTTAAAGGGTTAAATATGTTTTTAGTCCCTAATCTATGGAGCGATTTTGATTTTAGTTTCTCTTTCAAAGTAAGGTACATTTTAGTCCTACTCCTTTAGGAAACCTTAATTTTTCGTCCTCCAACACTAATGGCATTAAAAAGAAGTTGAGCGGGCTAACTGTGAAGTGTCACATCATTTTTTTTCTGACACTGAGTTAAAATCTGCCCCCACCGTTCGGTCACCATCATCATTCGGTCACCATCATCATTCGGTCACCATCATCATTCGGTCACCATCATCATTCGGTCACCATCATCATTCAGTCACCATTACCATTCGGTCACCATCACCATTCAGTCGTATAACCGTTCGGCTATTACCAATACCGTTCGGTCATCATCACCATTCAGTTATCATAACTGTTCGACCATTAACAATACCCTGTGAGAAAAAAAATGACATGACACTTCACCGTTAGTCAACTCAGCTTTTTTTTAACGTCGTTGGTTTTTGAGGACGAAAAATTATGATTTTCTGAAGGAGGAGGACTAAAATGTACCTTACTTTGAAAGAGAGATTAAAAACAAATTCGCTTAATAGATTAGGGACTAAAAACATATTTAACCCTTATAACACTTGTGGTGATTGAAACTAACTAATAAGAAAAAAACGGTAATAGGAGTTAAACTGCAGTGGAGGTATGAAATGGTGCTTAGATTTTAGGTTTAATCCTTAAAGACATCCCTATTTTTGTACGAATGTCTCATATAGGTCCTCGTATTTATTTTTATCTCAATTAGGTCCCTATTTTTGTAAAACTGAGTCAATTGGAACCTTGCCGTTAATTTTAATAGACGGCGTTAAATTTATTAAGTCGTGGCACGCTGACGAAGCAAATTTTAATGACGTGGCACGTGGTCCAGTCCAGTCAGGCAATTTTTTAGGTTTTTTTTTTTTACTTTTTTGCTTTTGGTTTCTCTCAGCGCTCTGTTCCATTCTCTGCTCTTCAATTTCTGATTCTCCCACTCCCACATACCTTTCGTATCATCAGTTTCAACCAAATGTTTTCCTGGAAGGAACTTC